CCTGGCACCCCTCTTCCGCTCTCTCACTCCCCCTTCCCATGCAGCGGAATGCCAGGAAAAGGACAGATTCCTCTTGCCAGCAGTCTGAAGACTGGATGCTGCATGAAGTGGTTCCGAGGACTGCCCATCCTTGCACTGGGAGAGGCTTGGCTGAGCTTCCTTGTAGCCGCAATACAAGCCAATATGGCCATGCAACAGGGCGAGGCAAGCTGTTCCAGGTGGCACGATAAAGGTGGATATGTGAAAACAGGAACTGATGTCCAAATGGTGCAGCGAGATTTAGCCGGAGTTGAGGCTCTGCTTCAAGCCACACAATGACTTGGGCCAGGCCGGACCCTGCTTTATTCCTCTCTGCCTCCTCCATCTCTGTTTCCTCCCGATCAGACCCCCTTACATTTGCCTCAGTTTTATCTCTCCATCTGTATGTTCATCTTTTGGAGCTACACCCAGAAGTCTCTCTTCCAGTGTTTTCTGTCTCAACAACTACAAGGGCTAGAAAATGTTATTACTTTTTAAATTTAATTGAATTGAATCTATTGTTTGCAACTTTAGGCATAAAGAAAACTACACACTGAAATTGCATGACTAAAAGTGCAATTCTCAGCAAGTTTCCATTTAAAAAGTTCTACATCTCCCAGCATGCTGAGAGTTGTAGGCCTTTTCCTCACCAAAAGTTGCATAGAATTGTGCCCTAAATCACAAAAACTGGTGAATCTGGAGAACAATACCAATTTATAGACTCAGTAGTATTTTAGTGGACCTTTTGTTGTGTGTTTTTGTGGGGCACTTCTCTCTGTGTGTGTATGTACCAAGTGAATATCCTTAGGATTTCTAGAACTCTCTTCACATATATAGGCACACACTTAACATTCTGTGTGAGATTGCCATACTGGAAATACCCGCCTTCTTTTTACTGTTTTTAGGTGCCATTTTATTGTCTTACCCATGGATCATCTGTATTTTTAAACCAGCATCTTTATTAAAAGGATAAATAGTTTGGTGTCAATTTACTGTGTGTGCTAGAAAAGTTGTTTGAAAGTATTATTCCTATGATTTAGCACCATATTTTGGAAGGTGATTTATTTAATTTTTCAATTTGGCAGGATATTTTGAGGGCTTGGCTCTTCTGCTCATCTACTGTGAGGCAGGCATTGTTCAAGTTTTCTTGTTCAACATTTATTTTTATCCTAGTTCATTACAGTTATTCATTTTTAGTTTATTTAAAAACAACACCCAGAATAAATTAGGAGTATTTACATGTTCCTGTGTAGCTACTTCCGATAAATTTTAAAAGTCATTATCTGGTCAATACAAAGCTTAGGGCTGAATGCAGTGTTAGTCCGTCTTAACTCCCATTCATTTCAGAGAGTCTACTCAGCTGGACTAACATTGGTGGGACTCAGTGATGGAGTCCCTTCTGTTCTTTTGGCCCGCTACTCCCATCGTCCCTCAGAATTGCTGTTGTGCTAGCCCTGATGGGAACCGTAGGCCAAACATCCGAAGACTACAAATTGCTGTAGACAGAATGCTTCTTATCAGCTATAGTTGTGACCTTGCCAAGGTAATTGTGATGATTGTTCAAATTTCCTAGCTGATACCTGCATTTAGGAAGCATTTGGCTTTGTGGCTGGTTATTTGGGGCTCTGACCACAGGCAGGGCTATGGAAGGGGCATGGTCTGTTGTGCCTATTTTCCTATTCTCGGATGCCTTCTTCTGCACAGTTCCTCCAATGTAGCCATCACTGGTTGCTCTGCCACCATATATATTTGATTCCGGGTATGGTGGCCATTTCTATTTCAGGTGCATTAAAACAAAATATCAAGATGGCAGTAGCCACAAGGAGGCAGGTGTGTGAGATCATGATGGTGGACGAAAGTCATGCTAGACTAAAAGTCCATCTTGATACAGTGTCCACTTTCCCACAGTGGCCTATGAGATGCATCCAGAATTCCACCAGCAGAGGCATGAAGGTCATTGTCTGGATAAAATGATCGCTTTTAATGTGCCACTAAGCCGCAGTGGTGACTACAACAGAGGGTCAAAGCAGTGGAGGAAAGAGGCAGGAGGGCAAAAGAGTAAGATGTAATGGGCTCTGTTTTGTACAGCAAACTGCCTGATTCAAAGTGAAAATACACCTAGATTGGCTCCAAGGGTGGAAGACACTTGATGATGTTGGATACCAACTCTCCTCAGCCCCAGCAATTGCCTATGGCCAAGGAGGATGGGAGATGGAGTCCCAACAACAGCTAGAGGGCCAAAGCTTCCCTAGCATTAGACTAGATGTCTAGTAGTGCATATCAGTACATGACTACTTTGAACTAAACCCTAAATGAGTTTGGTGAAACTTACTCCTAGGTAAATGAATGTAGGATTACACTGAGAAGTCTTTGCGAACAACTGCTGGACTTTTAAAAGGCTGTGACCTAATTGGATATAAAACTGCTGCTGCTGTGAAGAAACTGACGGGGTTCCCAGCACTCCAGTAGTAACTGTTGGGCTAAAGTAGGAGCACCCACCACCCCATTCCGGCCAACTATGGAAGGCCTGGTTCATTCTCAATAGTCAAAGGAGGAGGAGAAAACAGTAAAGCGTCCCCTCTGCTTCTTCTCTCTTTCTACCTCTCCAAGTGTTTGTCCGGCGTGGTGATAACCTGAATTTCCAGTGTTCTTATGTTTACACAGTTTCCAATTTTTGCTTTGTTTCGTTTAATCTGCACATTGTTTTATACTCTTTGTAACTCTGTGAATAGAGAAGTAGCTTCTTTGAGAATCCAGATGTTGACACACATTTCTCTCTCTCTGTCGTACCTGTTATGCCCCTGTAGCTACTACGGAAACGGCCCCCTTTTGTTACACTTCTGTTAACTTATATTAAATTCCAAAGGGAAAAAACTCCACCGTCTTCTTCGTCTCCTTCTCCTTTGCAATAGATTGGACTTCAAAATGTCCATTGTTGGTTGGTGAGGCCGCCTCTGTGCAATAGCAGTTCACACCACCATCCACCTCTACTCTGTGCACTGTCGGGAAAGCCCCGATGGCAGCCACAACAAAGAAAACCAGGTTCGGTTAGGAAAGACCCCTTTCAATTTTATTGAAAAATCACCCAACCCCCCTGCAGTTACTTTTGACAGCATGCTACCAGGTAGTGGATCTCACCGCCAACTATAAGCTTTTACAACATATACAGAGTATTTTATTGATTCTGAGTCACATGGGTCCCAGCAGTTGTTCAGTTGCTGACAAAATAAGGGGAACACAGTCAGAAGGTGAGAGGTGTGCAGAGGGGGCTCAATACAATGGCATTTGATTGCAGGATATTAACATAACGATCATGGGATTGTTAGTCTTGGCATGCAAATACGGGTGATTGCAATGCTGTTAACCTGGCAGCCTGACCAGTTATTACTGTTCAGCAATAAAACAGCAGCCCTGGCAGCTTCTTGGGGAAGCCATCAAGTCCCACTTCTTAAAGTAACAGCAAATGCCAAGCAGTAGCCTGGCTTGGAATTTTGGGGTGCTTCCTGAGAAAGGGGTGCAGGCATTTTATAAAGATGCATAAGCAACTCTTTTCTGCCAGGATTTAGCTGAATTTTCCCAACAGCACCAAAGGCCACCAATGGCAGGCCTGTTGTGTGTGCATGTGTGCATGCAGAAGAGCAGGTGTGCACAGGAGGGAAATGGGATGCCTGGTGTGTGTGCATGCAGAGGAGAAAACGGCCAGAGAATATCCCAGTGAGGCATGTATTCTTTCATGCTCCAGGCCACACACCACAAGCAAAGTCTGCAGCCCACATCCAGCTTTGGGAAGCTACTTGTGATGCCCAGGCGTCTCCGACAGCCCTACCCTGTGCTAGTTCCCCTTCCAGCCAAGTGTGTGGGGAGCATCACCGCTGTGTGCCCTGCCCCCCAGCAGGGAGGGGAGAAGATGGGGTGCGATCTCAGCCCCGATGTGTTGGAGCCCAAGTTCATAGGGATGCAATATCAGCATTCCTCTGTCGGCAGGGATGCTGACATCGTATGACATCTTTCCTTGAGCTCAGGGGCAATTCTCACAATAGCTGAAGGAAAAGGGCTTTTCCCACCCACAGTATTTTCCCTGTAGTAATGCCGATCGTTTGGGGATGGCTTGGTCTTGAGTTGGCAAGCATGACCATCAGCCTTGCAAAAGACTGCTCCAGGGAGAGAGAGGGAGAGTCAGTCGCAAGAATTTATGGAGTGGGTATGAAGATTATCACAATGAGCAGCTTTAGATCAATATTGATCACTATGCCACTGATCTTAGTCCATAGGAAAGAGAGGTTGGACCTCCCCATCTCTGCATACTGAGGCTGTGGAGGGGGGAGTGTGTGCCTGTGTGCTCACATGGGAGTGCACGTGTAAGAGTGTCCATGCATGGGTGGAGATGAGTGTACAGGTAACCCTCAGAGACCAAAGTTTTCTCACCCTTTCCATATAAATTCCCATTTCATGCCTGATAAGTAGTGATGGGTGGAGTCCCCTGACGTTCAAAGTAATTAGTGCACTTTATTTTTTTTTCATTCAAAATGCAGTATTTCCCATTTGCGTGAAATGAAAAAAGAACACAAACCAAGAAAGGAAATGAGATGAGTCAAGCTTCATGGTTCTTGATCAGAGAATCTGAGCAATCGCAGACATCGCTCATTTGCCCGCCCCCAGCAGAGGACTCTCCTAACACTTAGAATCACTTGATTTCTCGGGTGACCTGTTGCAAAAAGACAAAGGGGGCGCTTCTTAGAGTGGGGCATGCAAAGACCCTGATTTGTACTTGCTGTAACTGCTTCTTTTCCGCACCGCCACAAAGCGCTGCTCCTGCAAACATCCGTGCCCTTTGGGCGATGGTGGGAGAGATCAGTGCAGGGAGTAAAGAGTTACATAAGCCAAGCCTCCCCAAGGCTTGGCCCGCTGCCCGAGATGGTCACGTGATCCACTGCTGCACGGTGCCCTGTTGCGCCTTTGGGTTTGGACTCGCGACCTGCTCTCTCACGTAGACGGAGGCAGCATGTGGCTGCTGCTTGTGCCGCTTATGCTCGTCCTCCCGATCATCGGCCTTGTTTACTTCTACCTTTTCTATGGCGGCGACGGGAACCTCTTTAACCCAGCGGATGTGCATCCCCCAAAACCGCTTGTCACGGATAAGGAAGCCCGCAACAGAGTTCTCAAGAAAGGTAAGTGCGAGGCAGGGCGAGCTGGCCATGCGCGGGCTTGGGTTGGCCCCGAGGGGGATCCCGGGGAAGCATGGCGTGTCCTGGCCATGCTGCTAAGACCTTGTGTGCTTTGCCGGCTCCCGGTCAGCCGGGTGGCGAAAGAAAATCTCCGAGTTTATCATACAAAACATTCATTCGCTGAGACACGCCTAGTGCGTTTCCTAGAGTCTTCCCCATTTCCCCCCTGCCTGCCCTTCTCCATCCCTCTGATAATACACTTGTGAAAAATGTACCCGGAAGGTTGTGCCGCCTCGTGCCCGTGTCAAGTGGCAAGTTTTGTTGTCATTGTTTTCTTTTCGCACGAAATTCCGCGAGTGCTTTTGTGCCTGTTTCTCCAAATGCGCGTGTCGATTGAGTGTGTTTGAATTGCACACATTAATCTCCCATCGCTTGAAGTATGTGTGTGCCTTTTGTAGGAAATGTGCGTTTTTGTGGAAGTACGCATGCTGTTGAATGCGATTTCAGGGAAGGCGAAACTAGAAAACCACATCTCAAGCTAGGAAATGTAGCACAGATTGCATTCAAGGCCATGTGCAGTCCAGGAAGCATGAACTGAGCAAATCTTAATGAAAACTTAATTGATGGTGTTGTGAATAGGAAGTGTGCATAGACACCCTTGTTGTTTTTGCTGTGTTTTGTTGCAGCTGTTAGTAATGTTGCTTTCAATCTCCCCTTTTTTGTTTTGTTACAATAGCATAACATTAAAATAGTTAAAAGGTGAATGGAAACACATTTCTCATACAGTCCTATGTGATGTGCCCCCTGTGTGAAGAGTGTAAATTCCATGATGCTGGAACTTAAACCTCTTGTACTCCATAAAAGTGTGATGCAGAACACACCAAAATTAAAAATTATTTTAATACACACCTTTTTTTCAAAATATACGCAATTTTGTCCACACTGGGAAGGGTTCCTGCCCTGAAAGTTGTCCAAAAAAGTTGTCCATCAGGTCACTTGCTACCTGATCCTTTTACACTGGAAATGTCTGGGGCTGAACCTGGATCTTTCTGCATACAGAAGAATTGTTCCACCTCTTCTCAAATATATGGACTGGGGTATTATAGTTATGTTCACTTTGTACTCTAAATAGTTAGATTGCCCCTCTGTCATGAGCTAAGGTTCCTCCCCTCACACTTTGAAAGCCACAGACCTTTCTTGCAAAATGTTCTTTATTGACCAAAGCATTTTCCAGAAGCATGAACACCAAGAATGAATCTCTGAGCATGCACGGAGTGGTTCTTTGAGCCCAATCTAGTATTCACTCCAGGAATTCTCCTTATGAGCATGCTTGGGCCCCATCCCTTTTGGAGGGGGCTTCTGAAAATGAGCACACCGCCTCTCAACATGCCGATCCTCTAATTGGGCCGCCCTCCTCTGCTAATATTGTATCATGGGGTCAAGAGCTGTATTTGCCTTGTCTGTCTCTGAGAAAATCCCCTATTCCAAATTCCCTCCCACCAACTGTACATCTTAATTACTCCCAGAGGCTGCCTGCTCAGCTGGGCAGTCTGGCCTTGAGATAAGCGTCTCTGCTTCTCTCACCTCAAAGTCTAAAATTGGCCCACATTCCAGGGTCCCGTCCTGCTCCTCTTCCTCCTCCTCTTCTGAAGCCCAGCCAGCAGGCCTTGAGAATGCATTCCAAGAGCAATTATGAATGGCTCCATTCTTGCTGGCCTTTAGGAAAAATTTAAAGATGTGTCTATTCCTGACTGGATTTGGTTTTTAGCATATTGATGCTTTTAACTCTGCTTTTACTTTTATTGTTTCTGAAGTTTGATTATGTATTTGCTATTTTCCATTAAATCAAATGTTCTTTGGGAGGGTCTTTATGCATGCATATTATTATTATTATTAAATAGTAATTAAAATAATATTAATACCACTAAGTAAAACATGTTTACCCAGACACAAACCCCATTGGATTCTGCAGCATTTACTCCCTAGTAAATGTGCTTAAGAGTACAATGTAAGAAAAGGTAAGTTGTAAACAACTTTCCTTCAGTTACAAATCTCATTTTGGGAACAAAATCACTGACCATGCAATCTTGTGCCCGTCTGCTGAGAATTAAGTCCTACTGAATTAATTGGGCTGCCCCTCAGATATGTGGATACAGCATTGCAGCCGAAATGTCCTCAGCACACCAAGTCATTTGCCCTGCAGAGACAATAGAACTGGTCTACTTCGCTGGGTTGTTGTAGTGATATCTGAGATAATGTGTGTGAAGCGATCCTGTGCATATAGAAGTAGTGTAATGATTCATTCTTTTGAACCAAGCCTTTAAATGCCCTTCCCTCCTTGCTACATGCAGGGCAGAGTTTGACAATGCCAAATCTATTGCAACAGGGGTCTCAAACTCAGCTTACCTGGGGGCCGCTGGAAGTAGAGTCTGGGTGAGGCTGGGCCGCAGCAAGTATTCCACCACCGCGGCGGTGGTGGGCCGCTCATCCCACGGCCGGCCTGGGTGCCGCCGACGCTTTGAAGGCCACAGGGCCCTCCCCCGTGCCTCGCCCATCCCGGCAACTGGCCCGCAGGCCGCGAGTTTGAGACCCCTGTATTACAAGCTTCTTGGGGCAGGGACTGATTCTTGTTTGGTCCAACACCTGCCACTCCATTGGCATGACACAGCTGTCCTCTGGGATTAATGGGATAAAGGTATTTTGTGATAGGGTGGCTTGCTTTTCAGCACTTGCTTTGGCAGCATATATAGTAACAAAGATCCAGTTTTCCAACAAAGCATTTATAAAGGTTTTGCCTTGGTTATGATAGCAATGACTAACCTTATTGCTGAAGTCAAAGGGAAAGCTTCAATCTTGTTCTCTCCTGTTAGGCAGAGTGAGGCAGCTGCCTCAGGCGGGAGATGCTGGGGCAGACAAGGCATTAGAGGGCAGCACTGCACATGTACACACAGCCCGCCCTGTTTTGAAGGGAGACACACCTGTTGGGCATCCCCCTGTCCCCACCAAAGCGCACACACAAAGAAATCTGAATATATTTTTGCAAGGAATATTAACCCACATCCATTAATTCTGAATGGCATTGTTGGTGACTGATTGTTTGCACATGCTGGTTTGTTTTTATACCCTACCTTTTGTTAATTATACCCTCCGCAATTCCAAGTCACTGATTGTCAGCCTACCTCCCCTCCTGGCATGCCTGGAAGAGCTGCTCACTCCCCTTTTGCTGGTGCTCAGCCTGTTTATCTTTGCTTTCATAATTAGCCCAGTGCGAGGCCAGCTCCAGCTTCAGGGTGGTGTAAGGCCCAGAGCACTGAAACAGAACCAGGAGGAACCAGGTTGTTTCCCACTTAGTCAAGATGTTTCCTCTGTGGTTTTGCTCTAATCGCTTTCTCTCAAACTAACATAGAGTTGCTATGGAAATAATAAAAGGGAGCACGAAGGCTATATATGTTGCCCTGGGTTCTTTGGAGGAGGAACAAATAAAAAATGTAAATTTGTAAAAATTAAAAAATCAGCTTCAGAAGGCCTGCTTGAGACCCCCACTGCTGACTGCCTCTTCACTGGGGTCCCCATACCTGTGGCGTTCCCTCCTAAGTCATGTGCACATGGCTTAGGTAGTTCTTTGCACAGGCCTTGCTGATCCTTCTCTGATGTGCGTAGGGTGTTGCCACTCAGATTGCTTAAATATATTTGAAGAGAACAGAATATTCCAATAGATTTCTTAGTGCCCAATGATGAGAGTGGATTGCATGATTTTCTGGCATTTTAACAATACAGTTAAATACATTTTAACAATATAGGGAAGTGAAAATTTCCCCTTGTCTGCTTTGAGTCTAAGTATGGTACTTTCTGTTAAAAGGCCAATTACTTCTCACTCGGGGGACCCAGCTGCTTGTCTCTGAGTCTTTCTCTTCTCCTCAGGTTTCTCTCTGGATAAAGTACCCCCCAACCTAGATGCTATTGTTATTGGAAGTGGCATTGGGGGTTTGTCTGCAGCTGCAGTCTTGGCAAAGGCAGGAAAACGGGTCTTGGTGCTCGAGCAACATGGCAAAGCTGGGGGCGCCTGCCACACCTTTCAAAAGAAGGGCTTTGAATTCGACGTTGGTAAGGAATTCAAGCTGCTATCAAGTGTCTTATGGTTGGAAGAGGAGGAGGAAAACCCAGAACATGAGAGTTTCTCAAAATTCTCTGAACTTTATTTCAAAGCTCAGTTTGCTTACTCCATAATTTATGATTTAGGCCTCTTCTTTTGGAAAAGTTTGCATTTCAAAGTGCACATTGTTTTTTTAATGAATATTTAATCACGATCTGATCTCAAGTTTTGAAACATGCAGATGTATTTCTTAATCAGCCTTTGTGTTCAGCTTTTCCAATTATATTTTTTGCTACAAAGAGGCCTACTCTGCAGAATTTCTCCATCAATTTGTAGGGAGGAGTGGTCAGAATTCCTCATACACCCAGTAATTCCCCATAATGATTCTAGTTACAGAGGATCCAAAATGGTGGCCAGGCTGCCAACACCATTGCAACTTGCAGCAGTAGTAAATAAAGAAAAGAGAGGAGAAAAGAAAGAAGCCATACTTCTCCCAGGACTAATTGTGATTCCTATATTTGGGAAACTGTTGGCGCTTTTCTTCTTCCCATTCGAAAAATTCCATGAAATCCTCCCACCTCTATCTTTCTGCCCATACACAGGGTATTGAATTTGGCCTTCTAATTCAGCTGCTTTTGAGAAGCATTTGACTACAACTTCCATAGTCCCATGGCCAGCCAGCTGATAACAGTCCAACATATCTGCAGCCTTCCCCAACCTGATGGCCTTCAGATGCATTTGGACCACAACTCCCAGAATTCCCATCCAGCAGGGCCATTGAGCAATTCAAATAAATTCAAATCCAATTCAAATAAAAAAATCTGGTTTAAATTTTAAAAAAATCATTTTTATTATTTTTAATCATTGATTTTTATCCACCCTGGTTATGGGGGAGTTCAGACCCATTTTTAAATTGATGATCACAACTACATTCAGAAATGGGCATGTTTCAGAGCCCAGCTGTACTGTGGGCCCAGAGAACATCAAACCAAATGAAATCCTCACCCATCCTTAGGTAAGATGCAACGCAGCATCTATGCTAACTGAAGCTTTGCTATATCGGGGGACTTTGCCAATGTGCAAAGAACCTAAGCACAGGTAACTGCAGGTAAAAAGGAAAGGGTACCTGTCTACTTAAACTGCTGACCCCTCTTTGAAATGTCACTGCTTTTTCATGCTGTGGGTTCTCACCCTTCTTAGGCATCCATTATATAGGGCAAATGCAGGAAAATGAAATGAGCCGAATGATCATGGATCAGCTCACTGATGGGCAACTCGAATGGGTGAAGTTGGAGGATCCCTATGATATCATAACCATCGGGGACAAGGATTACCCACTGTTTTCGGGCAAGAAGGCCTTTGTAGAAGGGTTGGAGAGGCAGTTCCCAGAGGAGAAGGAGGCCATCAAAGAGTACATGAGGCTTTCCAAGGTGAGTAATTGAGGAACCTCAGTGCTTTCAGCCCAGAACATATAGCCTATATATTTATGAAAAAACCAGATACACTGCTAGGCAGGAAGAAAGGCAGGCCAAATTTCCATGAATACCCATTCAAAGCCTATGCCACAAGAGCACCCGTTCAAAAGCTGAAGACATTGCTTAGCCCGCAGTCCATTGTATTATCAGAGGTATTGTAGCACCTTCCAATATTGTAGCACCAGTGATTTGGCTATCAAAAGAGTACGGAAATTCCATTTATGCTGACCTTGTGATGAGTTCCAAGCAGCAGGTGCTTAATTAAGGAGAACATTTACATCAGTAAATATGAAAGAGCTTTCCAACATAAAGTAGTAGAATTCTCTCAAAAAGAGGCAGCCCTCTTTATGGCATCGTTATAGGATGCATTTCATATTTTATGCAGGGGAGGGCAACCTCCAGCTCACATGCCGCATCTAGCCTGTGGAAATTGTCCCTCTTTCCTGCGAAGGCTTGAGCTCCCTCCAGTGGAAGAAAGCCTGCACACAGCAGGGCAAGATCTCTGCAGATACACTGGGTGAACTGCGGATCCCAGGAGCTGTGGCCCCACCCCTTTGATGTTATTTACCTCCCATGGCCACTTTTGGTCTCCCTTCTTTGATTTAGAGTTACAATGATATCCATGTAACTCCTCTCTCTCCTCAGTTAGATAAATATAGCACAACTAGTAGGATCCTACAGTTTGTTGCAGTGTTTTAGAATTATAGGCAGTCACCTGGACAAGCAGGTTCACAATTCATCACATCTCAGCTGCATAGACACCCATGTTGCAAAGTCATGATGAGTTTCCCCATTCTTCTGTCTGTAGATAGTAATGGCCCATGTGCCATGGATGTCCATGCTGAAGATGATTCCCTTGTGGCTCTCCATGTTCCTGATCCGATGGGGACTCATCCACTGGTTCTCACCTATTTTCAGATTGGCCGCAACCAGTCAGAGCGAAGTGGTAGAGAAGCTGACCTCCAACAAGGATCTGAGAGCCATCTTCAGCTACTTCTTCTATGGTGAGGAATGGGCGGTCTTGCTGGAGGGGTCTTTTTTCTGTGATAGCCACACTTCAGTAGTACCAAATTTCATGTTGAAAGCACAAGTCATAACAAACATCTGGATCCAAACAAACATACAAAATACACCAAGCAGCTAAAACAATGATAGTCCAATAAAGAAAAGGCATTTAAAAAATTAAAGCGCTATCTGGGCACATATCTGTGTTAGGAGATACAACATTGTTTCTCATTTTAAAATATAACACGGTAAAAATTGAGACTTGGTGACTAAAGTGGTGGTGGAGATACACCCACCAGCAGAAAATTAATACATTAATACTTCTGAACCTGAGAAATTATCAATAATAAAGAGAGCAAGTGTGGTGTGGTGCTCAGAATGTCAGATTGTGGGTGAGGGAGAGCCAGATGCAAGTCCCTCCTGCCCCTGGGCCAGTCACTCACTCTCAGCCCAACTTACAAGATAAAATATGAGGATAAAATGGGGCTAAGTCAGCTATCTTGAGTTCCTCACAAGAGGCGAAAAGGCAGGATAGCAATGCAATGCAAGTAATAATAATCTAACCAAACATCATCTTGGTTAGATGGGCAATGTAGGGTAAGGGCAATGGAGAGTCAGGATGTGTAGGAATCAGTTTTGGGTGGTGGGGCTGGATCTGTTGGATTCCCAGGGCTCAGCTCCTTCGACTCCAGTCTGTCTTGTCAGGGCCCTGAGTCAGGCCTAAGGGTCAAATTCAGGCCACTGATGATTACTCAGATTTCCGTTCCCTTTGGACCATGCCGAGATGACCACTGATCCTGTGGGGCTTCCAGGCCTTTGCATCCTAAAAACGTTGACAAGGCTTAGTTCCTGGCAATACCAGATTTAGAGAACAATATGCCTGCATTTTGGCCCCATCCCTCGTTCCTTTTGCTTTGGCCTGGCTCATCATGGGAGTGTGGCCTCTGAGAGCTTCTGTGAAACAAAATTTGGCATGCTGACTAAAGGAGGTTCGGCACTTTTGTGGGAGAGGCCGTGGATGCGCCAGAGCCTCAGCAGAGAGAACACACACAAAAATCAGATCCAGTTGAGCTGGGAGTTCAGCGGAAGGTAGCTTCTGTTACCTTCATCATGTGCTGCTACGAGTGGCCAGCCCTGGCCTGGCATCTCTTCATGGGGTGGGAGGAATTCCCACCACAGTTCCCCTAGTGTTGTGCTTTCAACTATCAGCAGTAGTCTGTGTGCCTCTCCATCTCTCATTTCTTTCCCCCACCCAATGATATATTCTCAGGAGTTCCTCTGAAGGACTCCAGCTTCTTCATGACGGCGCTGCTGATCCACCACTATTCATTTGGTGCGTGGTACCCAAGAGGCGGCTCAAGCGAGATCCCTTTCCACATCATCCCTGTCATCGAGCGCTCGGGAGGTGCTGTGCTAACGAAGGCCTGTGTGGGCCAGATCTTGGTCTCCGAAAATGGCAAGGCTGTAGGTGAGTCTGGAAAAGGGCTCCACCCCTCCTCTCTCCTTTGTCTTCCGAGCTGCCTTCCCCACTCTCCGCCACTTCCCCTTTCTCCTTCCTAGTTTATCAAGAAAAGAGCTTTCTACCTACAGACTTTATTATGCTAATATGTGCCAGCCAATCTGGTCTCGTGATACATAAGGAGTACTGCAGGGGTCACTAGCAAAAGCTAATTCTACAGGTTCATTCCAAACTGCATTCTCCTTTCTCCGCCAAACTGAGTTGACACCACCCTCAGGAAGGTTTGTGCTACTTGTGAGAAAGATAGCAGGAATGCCACACATTCCTTAATTGGTCCACTCATTTGACTTGATTTTGGACCACTGGCTTAATACAGTTACAACCCTTCCCCTGCCCTCCTATTCAAGAGGTCCCCCCCGCCCCACAAGCCAAATACAGTCTGCTTCTCACCTGCCACCTGCCTCTTGGTTTATCTCACAGCTCGTTGGCCTTGGTAATTTCACAGAACACTCCAACCTCACCCTTTCTTCTGGATCAGATTCAGCCTGAAGTATCCAACTTGGAATCCCATATTTTGGGGAAACCAGGCCTAACCTCTGTGCTCTATATATGACCTGGACTCCTCAAGCATCCCAAGGCAAGCTTGCTTTGCTGGCTTCCTATGTACAAATGAGGCAGTCTAATCTAGGCTGCAAACAGAACTTCCAGCCAAGTGGAGGACTGGACAGGGAGTTAATTTGCGGAGAAGGAAGTCAAGGCACTTCTCATGCCTTCTGAGGCAGTTGACTACATGGCGCTTCTGGCTCCTGATAGCAGGGCCCTGCTTCAGATGGGAGGAACCTCTCTAGACAATGTGCTCAGTACCCTGGTGTTGTCCTTTCAGGAGTGACCGTCCATAAAGGAACTCAGGAAGAGGTAAAGGTGTATGCTCCAGTTGTGATCTCGGATGCTGGCGTATTCAACACCTTTGCGAAGCTGTTACCTTCGGAGATCAGAAGCAAACCTGGTGGGTTAATCAAGACTGGTTGTTCTCGATGGAGTCAGCTCCTCTGAAGTCATGTGGGCCAAAGGTCTTGCAGGAAGGCACCTAAGGTAGTTCAGTCTCTGAAGCTAGGTAGGCCTGGACCTGGTTAGTGCCAGAAGGGGAAACCTGAGGTGCACCCACCTTGTGCATGCTGCTGCCCAGTCTGACATGGTGATGTTCGGGGGCTGCAGAGCAACAGCCAGCCAAGGGCACTGTGGGAGGCCGAGAAGGGTAGGGGACATGTCAGATCTCCAGATTTATTTCTGCACTGAGAAGTCTGGAATGTGCAAGGGACTTTCCTACCTCTCTGCTTCATCCCAATGTGTCTTCTCCTCCTGCATTTGCTAATTTCCTCACACTGTGACCTACCTTGACATCTGAATCAGGCAAATCATTGTGAGTACCGCAATTCTGTAAAGCATGCTTTGATACGATGTCTTGAAGCAGGGCTGAAGGCTTAGAGGACATCCTAGCCAGGACATTTCACAAGCGTTTCCATCAAGAACCAAATCAGAACAGGAGGCACCCAATTTACCCAGTTAAAACTCAGTCCCATGCCACCTGGTAACTAAACTGTATAACATTGTTCAAAAAGTTTGGATGTTATGAATGATTCAGCCATTGCAGAAATTAGGAAAGGAAAGAATGAGTGAAGGGGAGGGAGAAGGAGAGTTTGTGCAGCCCAAAGTTTGGAAAATAATTTGAAGCGATCTTCTGTGTTGGAATAAGGAAAATCAGTAGCAAGCTTGCCATGAACTGCAGCATGAGGAAGTATAAATGCAGTAGAGCATGTTTTTTGTTCAATAGGACTAATTCTTTATACAGGGCAAAAAAAATCAACTATTGCATAATGTGACAGGAATTCTGATTGAAAAGAACTGAATTCAGGGGCTGGAAGGCAGCCTTTACATAAGTGTCTGTATAAATGGTGCCATGTTGAGCGTTGTGCCTGTGGGTGGCAGACTGTGGAGTCTACAGTAGGGAGTAGATGGGGGTTGTTTAATCTATGATTTGATGGGGCTCTGGACCCTTCCCCTTTCAGCACTGTGATTCTATGATCCACTCAGAGATCCAGTCACGACTTGACATGATTCAGCATGGTACGGGGTCTGTCCAAGTCTTTGTGGGCCTTCGGGGGACCAAAGAAGAGCTTGGAATCAAATCAACAAACTACTGGATTTATCTTCACAATGACCTGGACAGTATGTAAGTAGGACATCCCCAGAAACCCGGCTTTAGAAGCTCTTCCTTTTGTTGAAATTATTTTAACTTCCCCTGAGCACCTGAGATCAACCTTGCCAATTCATTTGGCACATTGCTGAAGGTGTCACTCAGGAGCAGATCTCTCTTGGTAAGTACATAGTGGAAGATCAGAGCTCATCGCCACCCTCTGTTTAGGTTTTTATGCCTCTACTGCTGCCCTTCTGTAAAAGCACTTTGATTCTTCCTGTTTCCTCGTGCACAGAACCACAGAATTTGCTACCTTAACCAGAGACGAGGTGAATGCCAAGCTCCCTATGGTCTTCATCAGCTTCCCATCAGCCAAGGACCCCACATACCAAGAGAGGCACCCAGGTATGTTTTCTTTACTGGTTGGAAAAGAATACATTGGAAAGAGGAAGTTGTCCAGTGCTATGTGTTTTTTAGGCAATACTGTGTGTGGCACTTTATGAAGAACAGGTTTAGACAGGTCCCTATCAGAAGGGCTTAAATCAAACCAAGTAGGGATGGAAAGAAGTAAATGGAGGGAAAGTAGGTATTTATTTCAGGGGTTCACAGCCTTTTTGGCCTCAAGGAAAACACCCAATTTTGCCAGGGTAAGGGTATGCACACACAGGCAGACAGAAACAGTGTTGGGGCACACACTGGGTGTGTTGGCCTTGATGTTTTTAGAGATGCTCTTCAAAATGCCTTTTTTCACCCTTTGTTCTCTGCTTTCATCTCCCTTGTGCAAGCTTGTGCTCCCTTTTATTTTTCTTATTTGAGCAAGACTTCCATTTTCTGAAGGAAGCTTTCCTCTCTCCAGTCACTTTCTCAACACTGTTCATTAACCATGCTGGTGACCTCTGAGACTTGGTCCTACCTTTCCAAACTTATATACTTACTATCTGAGCTTCTATTATTGTAGTTTTGCGTAATCTCCCAAGTATTTTGAAAGGATTTAAGGCTCTTGACTCCCCCTGTCAGCTTCCTTTTTACCATTTTGCTTTTTTTACACAAGTTTTCTTCTCTTAAGTCAAATGGAACTGTGTTGCACCTCTTTGGAAATCTTCTACTTAAATCTATATTAAATCTGATAACACCATGGTCACTGTTTCCAATTGGTTCAGCAATGTTTACATCTATCCTGGGTCCTAGGCAAGCCCGCCTAAGTTTAAATCCAAGATTGTCTCCTCTCTGGCCAGTTCCATGGCCAACTGTTTAGGGCACAATCATTTAGGACACCAAGAAATTTAACCTCTTTGCTACAGTGTGTATGAGTGTTTCCTGTTTAAAGCCATGGATTGATGTGGAGCTGAAATGGAATAGATTTAAGAATGAACGTGTGGAAAACTGGACCAGAAATAAACTGATTTAGGTATAACAGATGATTGAGACTAGTGGAAAACCATGAATGCTTGTTTTCATTTCTGCAGAGTTGTATGTATTTGCTATTACTTATAGGTTGCTCTTGCATGACGCTGATCACCATGGCACACTATGAGTGGTTTGCGGAGTGGAATGGGACCAGTGTGAAGAAGAGAGGGGCTGATTATGAGGCTGTGAAGATGGAGATTGCCCAGCACCTCCTAGACCTTGCTTTGGCAAAGTTTCCCCAGCTCTCTGACAAGGTAATACCTTGGTTGAAGGCTTCTTAGCAGAGCGCTATGCAAGCAGCTTTTCGCAGTAGAAAGACTTGGTGTGTTGTTTCACCAAAATGCTCCAGAGGGAAAGGAGAGATTCTCCAGCACTTTCTCAAGGGTGAAGCTCAGCACCACACCTTCTTTCTCTTCGCTAAGGTGTTTGCTTTTTTTTTATTTGCCTTGAGGCTTGTGGAGGTTGCTGCATCTGCAAGGGCAAAGGGCAGCTACAGCCGTTATTCTGGTGACTTGCTCACCTTTTTCCTACTTGGACCTAGCAATGTTCTAGAATATGGAGGACGGAGGAGTTTGTGTGCCAAACACACACATTGTGGAGAGTATCCTAATAAAATTCTACAAACTGGTCTTTCTGTGGAGTGGAGGGAATTTAAAAACTTAGGGGGGACTATTTCGTAACCCTCTAAGTGTGAATATTTATATCAAGGTGAGCAACGTGTAGCTCTCCAGAGGTTTTGACTACACCTCCCACAATCCCTCACCATTGGCTGTGCTGCCTAGGGAGAGATGCGAATTACAGGACAAAACCCCTGAAGGGCCACCGGTTGCCCATGCCTGATGTACGTGATATGAAAAAATCATGACAGCTGTTTAGTAGGTCTCTGAACATTCACATTCAAAAGTTCAAAGCAGGACGTGGCCCTTCCACGCCACCTGCATGCTGTTCCATCATGCAATTTTCTGTTCTTTGCACAAGCTGAGCTAAATTCCTCAGAAGAGATATTTCTCAGAAAATGCCGGAGAATTTTCTTTTTTCCTTGCTGGGCACCATTTTTGTTTTAAAATACTGGGCCTCCAGCCCTGCCTCATTCATGTTGGGGCAGAACAGCATCTAAACCACTGGTGCTGAATTGCCCGGCCAGGCTTGCCCGCCATCTTTCTCTGCTTCCTGGCCTCCTTCTCCAATAGTGCTCTGTTTGCATGGCAGTCCTGATGGACTGAGGTCTGTGTTCTCAGGGCAGCCCCTGGGCTGTAGTGCCAGCACACGAGAGTTCTCACTCAGCTAACCCATTAGGCACGGGTGCAGCTCCTCACAACCAGCAGCCAAGTGCAAGCCTCTCAGGGTCCCAGTGTGGTCCTCCCAGAAGGAGACACCCCTTCCCCACAATGCCAGGAGCTTTTCTGCAGCGTGTCCCCTGTTCTGAAAAATGCCTCTCCTAAGGCTCAGTTACTGGCAGTACTTGCTTCAAGTGAAAATACAGCCATCTCTTTGGTCCTTCCCCTTTGTCTTCAACCCGCTCTGCTTCTGGAATGTTCTCAGAAGGACTTGAAGGTGGCCCCCAGGTTAAAAGAAGATCTGCTTCTCTGCGCTAAGTCCTCGGAGCTTGCTGGTGCTGCGTTACCTTGGCTTCTGTGCATTTTCTGCCAGTCCACCAAATACTGAGTGCTCTGAATGTGAAAACAGAAGGAAAGTCCTGCTGGATCAGACCAAAGGCCCACCTCGTCCTGCACTCCATCCATACAGTGGCTCACAGGATGTCCCCATTCAGCCATGAAACTCTCCGAACTACTTTGGGCTAGTCACTGACTCCCTCACAGGGTCAAACCTAACCTCCCTCATAGGGTCAAATGGGGGTAGGGGAGGAGGGTCATGTGAACCGCTGTGGGTTCCTTGACAGGAAAGAGGGTAAGATTAAAAAATAATAATATAGAAATCCCGTTCTGTCAAACGCAGACCACCACTGCATGCCAGACATCAGATGGTGTTAGATACTGGCTGCCATACAAAAGCCGCCATCAGACTTCCATGCCAGTTGTCAATCTGTGCTTGATTGCTGTTTCAAACCCTTTGCATGCCAGATGCCAGCACTGGCAACCAAATATTCAGCAAAGGCATTTTTACAACCAGCGGATATATCTCTGAAACTTCTCTAAAAATACACAGACATGACAGACATAAATATAGGCTGCCAGACATAGATATTGGCTAATAGCGGGAATTTAAGAGCCAGCAGGAACTTTATTTTTAGAAAATGGGCTCAGAAGCCTTTTTTCTTGTTTTCTTACTGGAAGAAAAAATGTATTTCCCTTACGATCTGATTTATTTCCTCAATATTTGTGGTTCCTCCCTAGGTGGAATTTGTAGAAGCTTCTTCTCCACTCAGCAACCAGCACTATCTAGCGGCCCCTCTGGGAGAAACGTACGGTGCAGAGCACAACCTGGACCGCTTCAGGGCACACGTTGTGGCCACCATGAGAGCAAAGACTCCCATCCCAAATCTCTATTTAGCAGGTGAGTGGCGCACCCATCCTTCCCCATCCTGTTCCTCACCCCACGTTTTAGACAGGTAAAGACAACCTGTATTCTGGTGCCTGCCTCACTTTAAGTCTTCTCTCAGTGTGGGTCAAAAGCTTTTAAGGACTTCAGAGATCCTTGAAGTGAGTCTTTGTGGGAACCAGGGATAGACACATAGAAACTGAGCAAGTCAGAAGGGGTCTCCTGGGCCATCTAGTCTGACCCTGGCTCCAGCCGGCTCCACTAATGACATGCCTACCATGTGCATGTAGGATATAGTTGTAAGTTTTGAAGTGCGGGCATTATAATAACAGTCTCCATAGCCAAACCGCCAAGGAGGATCCAGAACTGCAGCAGCTGTATTGATCCATATTTCCAAGCTACTTCTAACCGTTTTCATCTCCATCAGCAGCAAGCCTTTGATGAAGCTAGTGGGTCTTAATTGCCCATTGTAAGCCAAGTCATCACAAAATACTTGCATTACAACAGGAAATAATACATCCTTGCTTGTCAGGGTTTGCAAGAATTTTGTTTCTGTTTGCCAAATGGGACCATATTGTGTTTGCAACCTGGAATGAAAATGCAATAGTATCTCGGCCAAAAATGATCACAAGTGCTCACTTTCAGTTTGTGCCACTTTCTTTGTTGGATCGGCATGCATTTCCGTAGTCCATATAAATAAGCCCTGCTTTAGTTTATGGGGAAATTTTGTGCATCTTGGGAAATTTGCAAAAATTGGGGGATTTTTGTACAACATTCAGGTATGATTGTGATTTGCTTAGCACGTTTTTTGCTGTTTGCAAAAATAAACAGTGATTACAAACATAAGTTGGATGCAAGAGGACCGACCAGCTTATGTTGGGAGAATCTTAGTGAGCTTAAATATCATTGTTGCCTATCCCTAATTGCCCAGAAAAAAAATCAGTTCCTCCCACAACAACTGTGAGGATTGCAGCTGAGGCCAAAGCAAACAGGCAAGCCTTAGGAGAGAGGGGGAAGCAGATGCTAGCAGTGTCCCTGCTACTCAGAAGTGCTGGTGCTCAGAGCTGGCGTGCCCTGGTTCTCCTGCAGCGCTGGAGACAGCCTGGGCTTTCTCTGATGTTTACTTCTTCCTCTCCTCAACGCAGGCCAAGATATCAACTGTTGTGGCCTAATGGGGGCTCTTCATGGAGGCTTGTTCTGTGCCTCCGCTGTGCTGGGGCGCGTCATTTACAAAGACCTGCTGCACCTGAAGAAGAAACTGGAAAGGCAGAACCACAAGAAAGAGGCCTAGTCCCACCAGCCATGGCCTCTTTCTCAGGAACACGTTGTGTGCTAGACCTAAAAAAACTAAGAAGGGGCCTCTGATCAGACTGGCAGCTGCCTAGTCCAGTGTTCTTTTCCCCACAGTTCACAACTGGACGCCGCTGGGAACTCCTTGGCTTTCTCCCACCATTATTCTCCAGCAGCTGCCATTTGCAGGTTTGCTGTGTCTGATTCGGGAGGGAGCCGCTGGTAGAATTAATCTGTCTACACCCTCTTTGAAGCCGTCTAAACTGATGGCCACCTCTGGGTCATCCTGTCTCGGCATATTCCATCAGTGCACTGCGTGTTGTGTAAAGAAGTAAAGACTCAATTTCCTTTACTGTGGTTCTTGCTGTTTTACAAGGGTTAGAAGAGCAAAGCAGCAATGCAACTGTGGTGAAGGTAGGGTGACCACTGGGGCATTATTTAAAGAGGGAGCACATGCTTCATCAAAAGGGGGTGGGAAGAAGAATCTGATTTGCATAATATTTAAATATCCTAATCTATATTGTAGATGCAAAAAGCCTTTAAAAAGGTAACCTCCAGGTTACTTGAAGGAACACATCACCTAAAATTTAGCTTCTTAGGCATTGAGCTAATTATCTGAGGCTCTTCGCTAGCACAAACGAGGCAAGGAAGGGGGTCCTTTCACCCTTTTGTGGAAAGCACGTCAGAAGGGCTCATCTGGTACCTACTTCAGTCACCCAGCTCAGCACAAGGCACAGTGATGCCATCATTTAGATCCAGGCTAGGCCTGCTCCAAAGCTCACTGTTCAGAAATGAATGATGCATTTGCAAGACAGTGATCTGAGCTTGCTACATAGGTGAGCGTTACAAAGGCACACATTTTAACCAGCAGGCTGACTAATTATAACATTCTGTGGCATGAAGTTACTCCACTGCCATGCCCATTGTCACAGGCTTGGATTTCAGAATATTTACCAGTGTCCTTTCTGGCGACCTCAGCACCAGAGCTTAGGATATTAGCACAGCTGCCAGCCCCCAGTGCCCAGGAAGGTCCACTAGTTTTGGCCTCTGCCCAGACCTTCCATGCGGGAATGCTGGGTGTGCAAGCCTCCATTTTTATTTCCTGCAATGCCTCAGAATCACCCTACATCAGGCATTTTGAGATGCAGTGAGAAGTCGAAATGACAGTTCCGGGGCCACTGCTGAGTCCTGTTACCAATATCAGATCAGGCAGAGGGGGAGTCGGCCTTGTCTGCTCAGCTGTCCCTCTATTCTTCAGCCTCATGAGATGGGTGCCTGGGGCCAACTCTTGTGAGAAGCCATTTTTATTTCCCCAAACCTTTGAGGATGATGACTTTCTCCACACTGTTTTAACAGGGAAGAGAATCTTCTCCCACTGATTAAGGAATATTTGTGTGCATTGTTCAAAGGTACACGCTTTCGCATGTGCATTTGTCAAAGGTACACATGCTGTTGAATATATTTTGGGGGCTGAATCACATGCAAGCTTGTACAGGTTTGGATGTCAACAGCAGAGTGTCTCTTGAGACTGGCCCAGAGAGCGTGAACTAATCAAAACCCACTGAAACAAATTTTGCATACATCACTAAGCCACCTGCATTACTGGGATTGCAGTTTGCTTCCTGATTTGTACATTAGCAGAGCAAACATGCCCTTCACCACGAAGTACCAACATGACACTTCCCCATTCCTCAATTCATGGAAACGACTCATTTGCCAGCTGAGCAGCCTCAAGGGGCAATAACCGAACTCTGGCCTGACACACCTAACAGCATGATGGATGCCATCTCATGATTCAATGAGCAAGGAATGCCAGTGGAGATGGCAACAAGGAGCGGCCTCCAAGCGGAAACAAGGTAAGGCCGAAGATGCAGACGGCAAGCACAGGACTGCAGCACTGCTTGGGGCAGTGGGAGCTGTGAAGGAGAAAAGAGATGCTAAAACCAGAGCTGCAATTATTGGAGAGGGAATAGTTAAGCAGAGCTTAAGCAGAGCTGGTTGCTTAATAAAGACAAGCGCAGCCTGGGTAAGCAAGCTACCATAGAAAAAGAACAAATATGGAAGGAGCACGAACTCAGTTGTGATAATTACATCACCTTTTGAACTAGTGATTGGTTCATGGTTTTCACCAATACGTGTTGCTAGGCAGATGAGCTCTTGTATAAATGGAAGTACTGGTGTGCCCCTCAGGGCTCCATTTCTTCAGTCTACTCTCTGCAGCTCTTTCATCAGTTTAAGTACAACAGAACATTTCTACTGCTATGTTGCTATTTCTGATCTGGACCCCTTGTAGAACCCCAGTTGATTTAGACATTTTTTTTCTGTCAGTTCCTGCTGTGGAGTAGGGGAGAGTGTCAGCCAACCTTTGAGGTAAAGGTTTGGCTTAGTAGTATACCACATGCCTGCATATAGGAAGTCCCAAGTTCAACACCCAACATCCCAAGGCCAGTAATCCCCAACCAGGTCTGGCAAAGATCCCATCAGAAATGAATGTGGCTGCCATTCAGTCTAGTAGGGATCTGCATCAGTTTTGGGCAAAGCCTGAGCTGAATCAAGCCCACAGAACTGCTTCTGAAACTTCCAGTTTCCCTCTGATGTGACAGGATTGAAGCAAGACCTTTCAAAGCAAGATGTGTGGGGCTTTACAATGTGGCTTCAAAAAGCCATTTAGTGCATCTTCAAAAATAGTTTATTTTGCTTTCTTGCCATCCCTAAATACAGGTATGAGGAAGGAGAGGTTGAAGCTGAGCGAGTGGGCAATATGTCTGTCTCTCTCGTGGTCAGCGCAGGCTGGGAATCATCTTCCTTTTTTCTGTCTGAACAAGCATAGGATTATGCCTTGATAGCCCCATTTTTACCAGGGGATCTCCAATTCCAATGCTCTGGAGAAGCCAAGGATGGGACTTTGAAGTGGCCATTCATCCAACACCACCAAGCTTCAGTATGAAGATGCACTGAACTGCTTTTAAGTTATTATAACTCCTTAGTACATACCCATATTCAAAGCATTGCAAGTTTCTACAATGTGTGCCTTTTTCATGCAAATTGCCTTTAAAAACATGGTGAGGAAAGAGGAAAAAATATTCACCCTCACATACAAATCCAAGGACTTCCACATACGTTTCAATGCCTGTCCTTCTGAAACTTAGCTGTTTACTTACATAGGACTACCTCAAAGCTGTCTGACATTTTCAAAGGAATGAACAAGAAACAGAAGGGGGAATAATCATGACCTTTATTCAATACCCTCAAAATGTAAGACCTGCCTTTGCATAAAAGACCCTGCACATATTTCTTGCAATCTTGGTGGACACATTGCCACAGATTTCTAAATTTCTTCTAATGCTGTCAACAGATAAAGTTCAGAACCCAGTGTACTATTTATCTGACACTGGACTATTCCTGAACATTTTATCCATTTCTAATGAAGAGGAGGAAAAGCTATAGACATTTAAGTTTTCCATGCTAGTCACTGGGAGACATGAAGCCTCCGATTTCTGTATTTAGCACCCAGGTTTGAGCCAAACCAATGAAGTCCTTCCTACTTACTTCCCTTTGCCAAGAGCCCGATTCTCATTACAGCTGTATTCAGAATAAAAGTGATCTGGATAAGAAGGTTTCACCTTGCTTGCCGCTTCCTAATCAATGTTACTGTCCGTTCTAATTAAAGAATTCATGCAAAACACGTGCAGAGGTCAGTTTAGCTGAACTGTAATTCAATTCAGGCATCGCTGGTGCCCTCCACATGACAGCAGCTCTCCTCATGCTGCTTGGGAATCCAGCACATGTGGAGAATATCCGGTTGGCAAAGGTTAGGAAAATGGCATTGAGCTTGCTAGGTGGCTTGAGATGTCCCTACCAGAGAGAAAGGCTTTGGAGACAAACTAGCTTTTCACTAGATAATTGAGGTGTTCCAGGGTCATGAGGCTGCAGATCTACATTTTATGCTTAGTGATTCGGAACAGGGCATAAAAGCAGGGCTGAATCGGACCCCTCTAGTCCAGTGTGCTGTTCACACAGCAGCCAATGAGATGCCCAAGGGATCCACAGGCAGGACGCAAGTGTTGGCGGCAAAGGCTGGGAATGGCAGGTGTCGCCGTCCAACACATCCAGACGTTACCAGGTCAGGGAAGGCTGGAATAGCCAATTTATGATGAAGTACGTTTTCATGAAACTGGTGCTGGATTTAGAGCCACATTTTTAAAAAATAGGAGCAGTTTAGGGGCAGGCAATACAGACAACTGTCCCTGCTACTCTGAATAGGAGATGACCTAAGAAAAATTTAAGAAAACATTCCTTCGCATGACCATATGCCTTTGCTTTTGAATATGTATTTTAGAATTCCTCAACAATCAAAATTCATTGCAAGCATAAAACCTATTTAAAAAAAAGCAGGAGAGATTGTCAGTGACCAATCTCATTTACGAATATTCTTTGTTATTTTTAGGTTAGGCAAGTGGCTCCTTGAGCAGCAGGGGTGCGGAAAGGTAGATCTCTAAATGATCTGGACTTTCTCTCCCACCAGCCCCTGCCATCACAACACAGGAATTCTAATTCTAATCCTAATCCTCTCTGAAGTGATCTGTGGTTTCTGCACATGGCCTTCTCGTTTGTTTCCATACATTATAAATTAAAACCGTATTCCTATAAAGTGGTCAGTCCTTTATTCCTCTGTGCTGCTCTTAGATGCATGGATCATTTTTTCACCAATGCAATATTCTATATAGGGTAATGGTTAATGTTTCATTAAAGGAGCTGTATTTAATTCCATGAATTGACTGTCCTCACCAGTAGTAAGTAAAATTGTAATAACCTCTGTAGCTCCTGCTAATCTGGGGCTTTGTGACAAGGGGCATTCATTCCCTCGCGATTCTCACTCAGTTTTCTGATGCCTCACCATCCTCAGGGGCTTCTCCTATGTTTTCCAAACATTTCCACTTCCCTCCCTCTCAGAGAAAGTGGACATTAACAGAAAATGGCAGAATGAAGCATAATGTGGAGCTTATGTCTTTCGCAATTCCACTACACCACAGCTCCCCCTAGTGGTTCTGTAATGGAACATAAAGGCAGAGAGAAAATCCCTGGAAAAACAACACATGTAAAGGAGCCAATTTTAATCCCACAAAGAATACAGGAGAAGCCAAGGTAAACTCGCAGAATGAAGGTGCCATGTAGAAAAGTGCTTAACCCATCAAAGAATGACAGTAATGCAATTTTGGGGTCATGCGTTGCTTTGTGGTCAATTATTTTGCACAATTCACTACAGATACTGACCCAAAATTCACATTCCTAGAATGTATGGCAATAAAAATGCCTGCTTTTACTAAATTCCATTTTCTATTACAACTATGC